TTAATGGGGATTAAAAATTAGAATTTTAATTAGGGATAATTGTAACAAAAGCCTCAAATCTTAAAAACATTAGCAAACTTTTTCATTTAAAATTTCGTCAGTTGACCAAAAAAATGATTTTGATCATATTTTAACAATTTTTAAAGGGCGAAGTGATGACTTTACATTAAAATCAAAATAAAAAATAAAATTCACCTTCTTCCCTAACCCATCCCAAATCCATCCCACCCCATAAATTGGAATGGGACGCTGCTGTTCATTCGCGCAAAAAAGAGTGCCAAACTTTGAGTCTGAAATTGGGAGGATTTCTGGAGCACTTTATGGAATGTTACCCAAGGTTGTACGAACCTGATTAAGACTCGACTTATGCCAATTGTTTCATTCAATGTCGCGTGAAACAAGAATAGAGGCAGGGAGATTCAAGTTCGTGACTGACGGATCTGTTAGATCAACGTCAAAAAGAAATGGTGCATTATTAGTTAATTTTAAGTCATAATCATGATTGTCTGGATGGATAGCTACCTACTAGTGGTGGTGCTCGATCGTGGACGTCACCGGCGATGGGTTTTACGATGAATTTTTAGCCAATTTTTATTATTTATTTATTGAAAAAATGAGTATGAGTTCTGTTGCTGGTGGTGGTGGCGGCGGCGATTACAATTATGGTGCGTGCATGGTTACAAAAATGATTATGGTTTGGTTTGGTTTTGGGTGAGGGTTTGTTGTGGGACGGGGTTGGATTTGGAATGGGTTAGAGAAGAATACCAATTTTATTTTTTATTTTTTTCTATTTATGTAAAGTTACAATTTTGTCCTTTCAAAAATTGTTAAAATGTGGTCAAAATCATTTTTTTGGTCAACTGACAGAATTTTGGATAAAAATCGTTCAAAATGGCATCAGATGCAATGTTTAGAAAGGTTAAGGGTGACGGCTGCAACAAATCCAATGTTTGAAGAAAGTGTGCTAGTGTTTCAAATGTTTGAGACTTCTGTTATATCCATTTTAATTAAT